GCATGTAGGTAACTGTATGAGTCAGTGGGTTTTCTGTAGAGGGTGGTGTCTAATTTTCCATTGTTGATTTGTACGGTGGTGTCCAGGAAATGGATCTCTCGTGTAGAATGGTCCAGGCTGAGGTTGATGGTGGGGTGTAGGTTGTTGAAATCTCTGTGGAATGTCTCCAGTGTCTCTTGGCCATGCGTCCAGATCATAAAGATGTCATCGATGTAGCGTAAGTAGAGAAGGAGTAAAAGGGGATGGGAGTTGAGGAAACATTGCTCTAGGTCAGCCATAAAGATATTAGCGTACTGTGGGGCAATGCGTGTACCCATGGCTGTGCCGCTGATCTGGAGGTATAAGTTGTTCTCAAACTGGAAATAATTGTGGGTGAGAACAAAGTTACATAGGTCTGCTATCAGGTTGGCAGTGGTGTCCTCTGGGATAGTGTTTATAATTGCTTGTAATCCGTCTTCATGTGGGATGTTGGTGTATAGAGCTTTTACGTCCATGGTGGCAAGGATGGTGTTATCGGGGAGGTTATCGATGTTTTGTAGTTTCCTTAGGAAGTCAGTAGTATCTTGGAGATAGCTGGGGGTGTTGGTTGCATAGGTTTTGAGAAGAGAGTCTACATTGCTGGATAAACCAGTAGTGAGCATGCAGATACCTGAGATGATGGGACGTCCAGGTTTATGGATTTTGGGAAGCAGATAGAACAATCCTGGTTGGGGGTCAAAAGGTGTTTCTGTGTGGATTTGTTCCCGAGTAGCTGTAGGGAGGCTTTTAAGGAGACAGTGTAGTTTCTTTTGGTATTCCGAGGTGGGATCAGAGGAGAGAGGTTTGTAAAATAAGGTGTTGGAGAGTTGTCTGGTTGCCTCCTGGTTATAGTCGGCCTTATTCATAATGACCACAGCACGCCCTTTGTCAGCTGGTTTGATTATAATGTCCAGGTTGTTTTTGAGACTCTGGATGGCATGGTGTTCAGCACAGAAAGTGTCCGTCTGCTTTGTACATTGGACAAACGTCTCAGACACTTCGCCAAAGGATCAATGCCCACAAAACAGATATTAGACAGGATCACAAAGAAAAAACAGTTTCTTGCCATTTCAACCAGAAAGGACACTGTCTCAACGACTTAATTACCTGCATCCTCACCTCTAATACCATTAGCTCACAGACATTTACCTTTCCCCACCTCTAATACCATTAGCTCACAGACATTTACCTTTCCCCACCTCTAATACCATTAGCTCACAGACATTTACCTTTCCCCACCTCTAATACCATTAGCTCACAGACATTTACCTTTCCCCACCTCTAATACCATTAGCTCACAGACATTTACCTTCTCCTCCCCTCCTCCCCACATCTCCCTTCTGTTCTGAAATTTGATTTGTCCTTTTCATATGTGTTCTTTTTTTTAATTGTATCCTTTGGTATATATGGTTGTGACTATTGTCTTCCAGTATTTGATCTGAGGAAGTGGGTCTGACCCATGAAAGCTCATTACCTAATAAACCATCTTGTTAGTCTTTAAAGTGCTACATACTCATTGTATATGTAAGTCTTCATGGAGGAAATATGGGAGGGCAAGAAAGTGAGGACTGAGCCGATGACTCACTCATTATAAATGAATTAAAAGCTAGCAGCTCTCGTCTGTTCCTCCAGCTATTCATTTACTTTCCATGTGCAATAAATACTGTATTGAAAGGTTATCTGGTTTCATGGAAATATCTGCAAGCACTTCTCTAGAAAAATGTGTTGTTTGTGATTTCACATCACCTCTTGGAGAGATCCCTGTAGCATCAGTACATTAGAAGAACGATTCTTTCTCCAATGGAAGAGGCAAATCTGCATCATCCAAGGCCTTGCAGCTGTACTCCAGGACTTCAGCCTTCCCTAGTCTACTACTAACACTTAAAGCATATGGCCTAGAAGCCCTTGGGGAAAAGTTTCAAGGGAGGAATTTCTTCCCTTATGTCAGAATCCTGCGGCCAGGTATTTAGACTACAGTGCTGGTATAACCCAGGTCTGCAAGCTACTGGCATTTAAAAATCCACACAGGGTGAGTGGGAGGATCAGAGTACAGGGGTGAAACAGGGGCATGTGACTAGAATATCTGTAAAATATACTGAGTAAGCCCATCTCCGCAAAAGCTTTTTCTGGCCAGGTTTCCTATTGCACTGCAACCACAAATTAAAGTTACTCTTCCCTGATGGACTCCCTGGAGAAAGCTGTGTGTTTATAGCTAACTCCTTATACTAAGCAGGTAAAGCCAGTCTTCCCTGGGTTCAGGTACAGTTAACCTAGCAGAGTCCTTGCTTTTTTCTTCAGATGAAGCTCGGGCCTTTTCTACTGTCAAGTAAGAAGATGTGAACTTTATTTTGAAGAGAAGTACATTTCAGAAGCGAAGACAATATCCACAGTAATTAGATTTGGTTTTATTTTTAACTGGGCCTGGGTGAGAGGGTAGAGTATAATTGTTTTGCCTTTTCAGGGGCTATTTTTATTTTATTTATTTCACAAGTGATGGAAAAACACCAATATGAAAGAAACACTAAGTTTATTTTATAAAGTCTTTGCTTTGCAGCATAGCAAAGCAGAACTAAGTATTCAGAGCTGATACCTACTACCATTTCCATGAGCAACTATTTTACCTGAAATGGGCATTGCAAACAAGTAAAGACATAGTAACTAACACTCCAGGTAGTATGTGCTTTGATTTGCACACATTTCAAAATTTACATAATTCGATGCTGTTTATTGCATTATAAAGTTTCTTATTCTACTGATCCCTTCTTTCTCTCTTTCTCTTGCTAGTCCATCAACTGTGTCTGAAGCACTATCTTGTTTGAAATAAATAGTGGGGTGGAAAAATGAATAATAAATAATAAGACAAATAATACCTGCCCCTAGAGTGAGAACAATTGTGATGCTCACAAATGGAAAATAGAATTGCTCAGTAACTGAAGTCTTCCAGAACAAACACCCGCACATTACAGCTAAAGTTACAAGTACATGAGTGGTATAATAACTAACAATATACATTTTTGTTTTTTCCCCCTTTACATTAAAAAATGTAAAAATAAGAATGACTCCAACAACAGTCCTGTATAAAAATTCCATCCTCTTAGATTTGCAAAATGTAGTATGCTGCTTCAAAGTCCAGCTGAAGCCCAAGGTCCAAAGAGATATTAACAGAATTAAACTACTAACAATACTTAATATGGTGGTCAGTGCAATACTCAGTATCCAAGAAGTCAGTGTAAACAGTTTATATAAGAGGTACATTAACCTAGGCCGCACCCCTGCAAATTGATTTTTGTCAAGCAGAGATTTTCGTAATGATATCTGATAGTCAAGAGTAGACCAGGAAATGCTGCAGAAAGAAGTGATGATAGAAGCATCTAAATAAAATACAAGGATAGATATTAGTGCCATGGAAAAGCTTCATATATTTTACTTAAACAGTCTTTATGGATGAGAGGAAGAATAGTCCAGTTGTTAGGCACTTGAAAGACCCAGGTTCAATTCCTTGCTCCACTACTAATTTCTGTGGGTACGTCTACACTTGCTCCCTAATTCGAACTAGGGATGCAAATATAGCTGACCGAAATTGCTAATGAAGCGGGGATTTAAATATTCCACGCTTCATTAGCATAATCTTGCCCGTGTACTATTCCGCTCGCCAGCTGATTTGAACCAGGAAGCGCGCTCCGGGATGCATTAGTTTAAATCAAAACCCTTGGTTCGAGCTAACGTTACTCTTCAAGGGAGTTTGATTCAAACTAACGCATCCCGGAGAGCACTTCCTGGTTCGAATCAGCTGGCGAGTGGAATAGCGTGCAGGCAAGATTATGCTAATGAAGCGTGGAATATTTAAATCCCTGCTTCATTAGCAATTTCGGTTGGCTACATTTGCGTCCCTAGTTCAAATTAGGGAGCAAGTGTAGACGTATTCTGTGTGGCCCTGGGCAAGTCACTGAGCCTTTCTGGGCCTTAGTTCCTCATTTGTAAAAAGGGGATGGAAGCACTGCCCTACGTCACAGAAGCATTGTGAGGAGAAATATATTAAAGACCAGGAGATGCTCAGTAATGGAAGTCACAGATGTACCGTAGGGAGGGGTAGGCAAGATAGCCCACGGGCTGGATTTGGTCCAACACGTCATTTGATCCAGCCCACCCTGCCGCACCACAGTCCCCAGTCCAATCAAGACCTGTTGGTGGAGGAGTGCACAAAGTCATTCACTGTTCAATGTGACTGGCAGCTCCCTCTCCCTGCTAGAGACTCACAGCGCCAAGAGGGAGCCACCAGCCATTTTGAATAGTGAATGTCTTCACACACTCCCCCACCTGCAGGCCCCATTAGCCTGGGGCAGGGGAGTGACTGCATGAAGTCTCCCCTTGCCAGGGGCACGCAGCACACAGAGGAAACTGCCAGCTGTTCAAAATGGGTGGCAGTTAACTCTAGGCATCCCTGGCAAGGAAACTGCGCACTACCCTGTCCCCAGGTCCCGACTGGCCTGGGGGTGGGGAAGCATGCAAAGTCTGCTCCCCCACTAGGGACACGCAGAATCTAGAGGGAACCACTCCTCCATCTGAGGCCCTACCCCTTCCATGGGAAGGCTAAGACCAGCCTATGACCACTACCAAAATTGGCAAAGTGGCCCCCCTGAAAAAATTATCGCCCACTGATGGTCTAGAGGGAACCACCCCTTCCACCTGAGGCCCTGATTGTGACCACTACCAAAATTGGCCAACTGACCCCACTGCAAAAATTATTGTCCACCCCTGATCTTAGGTATCTACCTATTCAATAAGTGAAAACAAAGTAGACTACTCTGTAATAATTCAATTGGTTACATGCATTAGCTTTCATTTATCAAACACAATACAAGGTTATTGTTAAATATTACTATCACATATTACAGTAAATAAAACTTTTCCCACAGCTTAGTAAAATGTATAATCCAACAGAGGAGGTTTTTAACTAAATATTAAATAAAATTGTACTCAGATGCAATAGGAATACTTTACAGCAGAGATGGGCAATAAGTTTTGATGGGGGATACTTCAAGAATTTGGAAAGTAGTCAAGGGCTATACTTTTCCATATTAATGGAGGAAGTGCAGGATCTGGGAGGGAGTTTAGGTGAAGGAGGCAGTTGTGACCTGGGTTAGAGGACTAGGGTGCAGGAGAGGGAGGAAGGGTTTGGGTTGTGACCTGGGGCAGGGGATTTGGGTACAGGATTTGGGAGAGGATACAGGGGTTTGGGTTATGTGGGGTAGGGGTATAGGAGGGGGCAAGAGGATTTGGGTTGTGACCTCAGACAGGAGGGGGCTGTGACCTAGGGAGGGGATTGGGGCGCAGGATCAGGGAGAGGATATGGAGGCAGGAGGGGGACAGAGAGTTTGGGTTATATGTGGGGGGTGGAACAGAGGGCTCGGGGTGCCAGAAGCAGGCTCTGGCTGGGAGACTTACCTGCCTGACTCCCAGACAGCAGCCTTCTCTAGACTCCCTGCCACCACAATGGCCACAGGGGCCATGTGGCTTTTGAAGGGGGGGGGAGGTGCTTTGCAAGCTGCCTGTTGAACACAGGCAGCTCCCATTGGCTGGAAACTGGCCAATGCAATTCTGCAGGGGGCAGGAGCAGTGCATGAAGCATCTCTTCCCTCACCCGACCTCACATGTGTTCAAACGGTCTCTCAGCAGTTTTTCTCAGAGAGGGGCAGGCTGGGATCTACCTGAAGCTGCCCGCTGGATCCATGGGCCCGATCTTGCAACTTGGTGGGCCAGATCCAGCCTGCAGAGAGTATTTTGCGCAGGCTTGCTTTAGAGCAGCGTTTCTTAAAGTGTGTTCTGCAGCACACTTGTGTGCTGCAAGGCAGTTGGTGTGCCACAGAGAACAGAGTTAAAAATGGCCGCCCTTAAAAGGGCAAAGCCTGCTTTCCCAATAAAAGGGCAAACTGTTTTGGTTATTTTGCTTAACAACTTCTTTTCCCTGTCCTTTTTTGTTTGGTTGGTTTTGTTCAACAATTTTTCCATGGGGGCTGCTTGCCTATTTTTTTTTTTTTTTTTTTTTTTGCACTCAACAAAAAAATTCTTGGTGTACCCCATAAAAATAAATTGTTTGGTGTTCTTCAGTCTTAAAAAGTTTAAGAAACTCTGCTTTAAAGTGTCATATAATGCTCAGCATTGCTTTCTTAATACAGATTTAACTATTCAACTTTCATATAGAGGAGACTTACACTGACTGAAGGCAACCTTGTCATGCTCCATCAGGATATAAATCTGGAGAATGAGCTGGGGTGTAGTCTCCAAGAAAGTCTTAAATACCCTGAGCATACTAATATCAGTCACAGCATCAATGGCACATTTATGAATGTCATCGGGAGTGCTCTCAGTAAGTTTATTTCCTGAGCTGTTGTGTTTAAATGCAGCCTGGTAGCCATCTTTCAATGCAAACCAGTACCTACAAAGAGAAATATATATGTATACACTTGGTTAGATTTTGTTTTAAAAGCATTGTTCTAGAAAATAGTGAACGCCAATTAAGATTTTAGCCAGTTTGTTTTCAGTTCAAATTATTATTATTTGTTTTAATTCTCTTTGCATGCTCACTAATGTAAAACTTACACTGAGGTAATGTTAGTGATGGGTGCAGTCTAAGAACTTAAATTGAATGGAATGAGATTGTTTTGAGTAAAGACTACAGGATTGAATTAATTAACTTTAATTTCTGTAAACAGAATATATTTCTGAATTTTTCCTTGGCTGCCTTCTTGTACCCTTCTCTTTATAATGACACTCACATTCATTTTTCATGCACCAAAATCCCTAGATATACACATGCAAACTGGAGATTGTGCACGCATCCCATACCATGCACGTTGGATGATTTACATACCCACCTCAAAATCTGCACATTCTTTTGCAGGTGCATTTTTTTTAAAATCTAGCCCTATTTTTTTAAGCACTCTCTTTTCTAAACATCCATAGAGACTTTCAATACAGAAAATAACTCTCAGGACATGCATAGTTTATACAATGGCAGACTTCATAACCTGGATGGTGTCATATGATAAATCATATTTTTTGTCATACACTGAGTGCATATAAATGACCTCTCAAAGCAGTTCTATTTTGTACTTAAGGCTATATAATCATTTCCTTTGAAAGAAAACTAAATGGAATGATTAATTATACTTGAGCTAGTGAATCATGATAGATTTATTTCCTGCCTTGTGAAGTACTTTTTCTGTTCAAGATATCTGTACCGCCATGTGGGAGACCTAGATTTAATGGCCAACACCAAGTCATTTGTTTTTCAGTCCTAGAGGAGTTGACAAGGCTGTGAAAATAGAGTGCTTAGCCTCGCCTCTTGAGGGAAGGGAATACTAAACTCTAGTCAAAAGATCTGCTCACAGAAATCTATTCAGTCCTCCTTGGGGGGGGGGGGGGGGGGGTGGCAAAAAAAATTTGAACC